CTCTGGGGCCCCCAACATTAGAAGGACATGGATCTGCTGGAGCGAGTTCAGAGGAGGAGCCATGAAGATGTTCAGAGGGCTGAAGCACCTCCCATAATACGCTGAGAGAGTTCAGTCTGGAGAAGAGAAGGCTCTGCAGAGACCTTAGAGCAGCCTTTCAGTACCTAAAGGGGGCTACAGGAGAGATGGGGAGCCACTCTTGATCAGGGAGTGTAGTCACAGGACGAGGGGTGATGGTTTTAAGCCGAAAAGGGGTAGACTTAGATTAGATAGTAGGAAGAAATTTTTTACTGTGAGGGTGATGAGACACTGGCCCAGGTTGCCCAGAGAAGCTGTGGATGCCCCATCCCTGGAGGTGTTAAAGGGCAGGCTGGATGTGGCTTTGTGAAACCTGGTGAAAGGTGTCCCATCCATGGCAGGTGGGTTGGAACTAGGTGATCTTTAAGGTCCCTTCCAACCCAAATTGTGCTATGATTCTATGACAAGGCTCATCTCTTGGTATTGCTACTTTAATCTACTCTATCACAAGACAGTCACATCTCTGCTCTAGATCTCTGAAGCTGCCATTTATTTGACAAGTCACAGGATCAAATTTCTATAGGAAATTGTGTAGAGTGATGTCCATTTTTTATTTATAACAATTTACCTAACTCAATATCCTCTGTTCAGTCAGAAAAAATTTTTAAGAGTTTGTTTCATAAAACTCAGCTTCCCTTCAAATACAGATACTAACCTCTTTTAGTTTAAAACCATTACCCCTTGTCCTATTGTTACAGGCCCTACTAAAATGTCTGTCCCTCATCTTTCTTGTAAGCCCCCTTTAAGTACTGAAACGCCGCAATAAGGTCTCCCAGGAACCTTCTCTTCTCCAGGCTGAACAACTCCAACTCAGCCTTTCTTCATAAGAGAGGTGTTCCATCCTTCTGATCATTTCCGTGGCCCTTTGGACCTGCTCCAACAGGTCCATGCCTTTCCTGTACTGAGGACTAAATAATTATGTGAATGCCTCCAATTCAGTAAGGTACCTATGACTAAGCTGAGTGGAATTCATCCTATATTTTTAAAATTATGTATTTGCTTACAAATCTTGACCATCCAAAACTTTAAAAGGGAACAACGATAGTGATGTTTGTTCCTTTCCCAGATCACAAATACCAAAAAATTCCAAGAAATTACTATATAGGGAGTAAAAACTGGCACAATGCTGCATAAACTCAAACAGATTGTATGTAAGAACACAAAAAAGCAGCTCTAAAGAGTCTGAGGAATTACTTCATAAAGACATAAAAATGAGTAAGCCCATTTCTGAACATGAGGAACAGGATGCCTCCCAAAATCTGCAGGGCTGATTGATAATGAAACTTTTAAAAGAATGTTCAAAGAAGCCAAGTCTGTAGCAGGAAAAAAAATATGGATTTTTTTCCAGTCCAGATTTCCAACAGTTTTTCATACCAAAATCCCTCTTACGAGGAGCAGACCAGGTCTGTGTAAGATTTAAAAGGACTTCTAGTATGAAATAGCTTAACTATCAATCGCAGTGATCAATGACCTGCTTAGAAATCACTTCAGTGCTGTATGGGAAACAGCAAACGTAACACCCACTTTTTTAAGGGCTTCTGGGGGCGAAGCTGTATACTGTCCTACAGAGTATTTGACATTCAACCACAATAGAGAACTTGCAGCCACATTGGTATATATTACATTTTGTTAAAGAGTCAAGGAAGCTTTAATTATAGTAAAACAAGATCTAACAGAGCTCTTTGAAGGAGTCAGCAAGCCCGTGGACAGTGAAATCTGACTGACATAACTTAGTCCATTATCAAATTCTTGTGGCAAAGCCCTTCACTGATGCTCCTTAAAAAAAGGTAAACTGACATAGAATTAAGAGGAATGGTCTAAACACAAGGCACAAAAAACAGAGTGGGAGAATAGCAACAGGGGAAATCTGACACAGGTGCCTGCTAACGAGCCATGGTGTTCAACACACTCATGTGCAATTTGAAAAATCAAACGACAAGCAAGGTGACAAAGCTTGCCAACAGTATTAAGATATTCACAGTAATAAAAAACAAAAGACAACTGTGAAGAACTGCACAAGAACTTCATAAAGCTGAGTGTTGGGCTACAAAGAGGTAGATGAAGTCCACAAAGCAGAACAATGAACATGACAAAACAACTGACAAGGATGATCAAAAAAATGGAGTAGCTTCCATACACGGAACAACTCAAAATCCTGGGATTCTCCAGACCAGCAAGGGAAGAGTGTAAGGAAAAGGAGAAGAAATGATGGAGATCTCTAGAAATTGAGTGGCATGGACGGAGGAGGTGAATACAGAACTCTCCACCGCCTCTGCTGTAAGAGCACTAAGGAGCAGGCAATGAAACCAGCAGGCAGCAATTTAAAGCAGGCTGATGAACTGTAGAACTAAAAAAGGTTAACATGGTTTCCAAAAGTTTTTAGAAGCAAGTAGACAAATTCATGAAAGAAAGCTCCCACACAGGCTGCTGAAGACAAAGATACCGCCTCCTGTTCATCGAGTCCCCAGGGCACAAACTGCTAAGTGTCTCCTCTAGGCCTCCTCTGTTTCTCCACTCTTCCCCCAGCACTCAGTTTTGGTCCCCAGAGTGGAAGAACCTCTAGTCTGATCTGCTACAGCTGCTGTTACATTCTTATGCCTTGCTCTCCTCTTTTGTGTTGTTCCAGTAAGCGCTGCCTTTACCCTGTGTGTTTTCCACCCGAGCAAATGGAAGGAGTACCCTAAGACTCCCAACAGTTGTCCCTTGAAGTAGCACGAGCAGCATAAAATTGCTTCAGGTCCATTAAGCTACACTGCCCTAGTTTTTCTTCACCAACACTTAGTAATAGCCAAGCTTTATCAAACACCTCTGCTTTATAGTGCTCTTTGGTTTTACACAGTATTTCAATACAAGAATTATAGCTGAATAAAATTATATCAACAGACTCCAATATGACTTAAAAATAAATGTTCTTACCCCTGGAATGACTACAGTCCCAACTCCATTTTTGAGTTTTGATCTACCTCTGCCACCTCTTCCTGAAAGACCTGCACCACGTGGCCTCCGCTTTCCGGGGAATCCTGATCCACGGCCCTATTCAACATACGATAACAATTTAAATGCAACCTGAAATTCTTTTGTTATACGGGATTCAAACTTGTTCAATGAATCTATGGAAAAACATAAGTAAAAAACCACTCTATGATTTCAAGTGAGTATGAGCATACTAGGCCACAGTCATTAAGTCACTGCATGAATCATTGTGAAACACCTTTTAACTACTTACATTACACAATATGATCACCTTTATCACCAGTGAGAAAGCAGACCAAACCAGAAATGCTTATTTTCTGCTCAGGAATAACTGGAAATATGGAAATGCTTTTTTTTTCAACAGTTGCAAAGTGTCCAGCATAAGTCTCCTCTATTCTGCGATTCATTTTTCTTTTCTTTTTAAACAGTCAGCTCAGACAGTCATGGTACTTCTGAATAGAGTCTGGACACTTGATTACTTGCAAACATAGATGCTTTTCTTACGCTATGAATAATCAAGCAAACACTGGAAGTTATTAGGACTCAATCCTGTTCCCAAAGAGAAGCAGGAGCTGGCTCCACCAAACTCTCTTAATTCAGCAGACACAGAGGGAGCTTTTTACATTAATTACATCAGTAACACTCTGATCAACACTTCCAATAATACGGTGTTTTTCTTACAAAATATCCACTTATTTTTAGACAGCTTTTTCCCGCTTCCTTATTCTAGATGCAGACATACAGTTGCAGTGTTGTGTACTCTGGAGTACTCACAATATGTCCAACTACAATTAACTGTGGAAAAGCAAGTATGTTTTTAATAATAGCCTGATTTTAATACTGTGGTTTAGTTTGAATTTCTTTTATTTTTTTTAATTTCAAAATGAACTGAACACAAAGAGGATCCCCAATCCTCCTTAATATTTTTCCAGAGAGCAAAAGGACATATTGACATATCAGTTCTGGCTGGTATATCAGATATCTTTACAACATGTTTCAGAGCCTCTGATCTGTATAAATGATGATAATTATGGTATATATTCAAATAAATGCCTTTCCTACTACGAAATAAGCAATGATATTATTTATTGCATTTCAAATTTGTGAATAATCTCGGTTCCTAATACAGCCCAACTCCATCCACAAAGTATCTAGATACAGTGTCTATATCCAAACGTTTGCTGGAAACTACTTTTAATACCGAGACAAAACATTTACTCAATAAATCAATGTTGACGGAACCACAAAGCTCCGTGGGGACGGTGTCGCCAACAGACATGAACAGTTTCTACTGACGGAGACAGGAGGTCCCTGGATGGAAAGCAGCACTATGGGCTCAATATTACCAACAGTATTTTTTTCAAATATGCCAAGTCCTGTTTTAAACAAGATACAGAAGTTTTTGGTTATAATTAAAGGCAGAATCCAAGCATACCAAGGTTAAAATTTTATGAACATCCATCTACTAATGGAAGGAGAAATTAAATTGACTCTTACACAACGAGGCAATGCAATGCAATGCTATTTTAGGAAGTAAAAGGAAGGATGTTACTGATGGCTGAAGTATTTATATGTACTAAGGTGAAAGAAAAAATGTCCTTACATATATATGGAGCTAATACATATGCACACACAGGACATAAAATTTTTTAAGATGTAAACTCTTCCAGCATGTTTCTTATTTTGTCTGTTTCAGACCAAGTATCAGTATTGTTATTGTCACAAAAGTAGTAACAGGAATAAGCACATACTTGTATCAATGTTAATGCTGAATATTAAGCTGAAATTAATGCTTGAAGCAGCAAAAGCTAAGCTAATGTCAAATTAAAACAAAATTAGCATGAAAGTTAAAGTGAGATGAAAATAAGTAACTGGGAAGCTACAGTTATTTGTCAGAGTTTCATAATTTAGCTTTCTTGCCTTTATTTAAAAATAATAATTCCACTTAGTTTCTTCAGGTGTTTTCAACAGTAAACGTCACTGTGGATATAAGCTTGGGTCAATCTAATCAGGCAGGAAAGTTGGTATTTGTTCCCCCATCAAATAAAAATTCCAGCCCTTCAGATTTCTCCTCCTTTCTGTGCCTGGCTTACCTTACTGCAAGTCTAAAAAGACATTTTCCTTCTCAGGAATTTATATTGACAGTTACAGAAAGCCAACCACAAAAAATTGTTAATACAAGCTATTGTTTGCCATTGAAAATCAGGGCAATGCCATCATACTGTAAACTCTGGAATGCATATATTTTTTAACCTGAAAGCTCCAGAGTTTCAATAATTTTTAAAGGCCTTAAACAGTAATAGAATGGAAGATTAATTCAGTTGCGAGAGATAGAATTTCATCACTACTCTCTACAGCAGAAAGATAGTAATGGATACATGAAAATAAATTCAAATTATTTACCACTTTGATGCTCCAAATGGCACTGCCAGGAAGCTGTCTGGATTTAAAAATGTCCCGACCTTCTGAAATGTCTGGGGACCAGGAAGGTGGGCTGACTGTATTATTGGTACTCCAAGCCCCCTAGGATACGGCAGGTGAGAAAATAGATGTATAAAACTTTGCAACATAAAAAAAAAAAAAAAAAAAAAGAAAAAAGCAAGCAACAAAAAAAAAATCTGAAAAGCAAAGCACATGCAGGCATAGGCATTTCCACATTAAGTAGTCAATTAGTTCACTGACAGGAAGGTGGGAAGTTTTTAGGTTCTCATTGAAACATACACTGAAACAAATATTAACCTCCAACTGATGGTTAAGTACAACAAAATGAGTGTTATAAACAAAGCATAATACAAATTGAAAGCAAGCAATCATAGCAACAATAAATTATATCCCTAAATTTTGTTGCATCAAATGAAGACAGTACTTTGAGATAACATCCCCTTTTACACTTCAAATCCCATTTTGAAAGAACAGATGGCCTTAGTTGTCTTTTGAGTCTGAACTACTGACAATCACAGCAACAACTAGTTTGAGAAGCACAGAAAAGGAATATAAATAAACCACTGGAAAAGAGGAAAGAACAATAGCTATGGTGATTAACAAGATATGCCTTTCCTGCTAGTTTGCCACATATAAACCATTATAAAACGCCATTACAAAGTTTTTTGCACCTCAGTGTTTTCACCTTATGCTGTGGTACCAATTTTAATGTGTTACTGTATACATGTAATAATACACAGCCATATGCTGTACCTACAAACTTTTTAATTATCATCATCCCTATTTATACAGTTCCTATCCTGGTGAGATATTGTGTAACTCTGTCAAAAGAAATACGGCAAAACAAGAAGAAAACTCTAAGACAGACAAGAAAAAAAAACTTCTGAGGTTCCTTATACACATTAAAATCTGTGGAAGACTTCCTCCAACCCTGAGTAAAGAATGTGGGAGACAACCATCAATGACTTAATAACTAACTTCATTCTAAATTCACAACTTAGAGCATTTAAAAAGATAGTAAGCTTTCCTAATTCTAAGTTTGGGAAAGAAGAAATGAATACCAAGATTGGAAGCAAACCAGATGAAAAGTATATGTTTACCTTCTTGAGAATGCCATTCAGCAACAGAATAGCACGGATGATATGGAATAACCTCATGCATACTCATAGTCCCAACTATTCACACAGGTATAACGGCTCACACAACACATTTACACCTTTGAATACTGCTCTGTACAATAATAAGAATTAAGAAAAATGAGACAGCTTTCCAAAATGTGGGGTTTTTTTCCAAAATTAAATTCTCCATCAAGAATGTATGGGAAACGCTTCCTCTGGAATCAACAACTCACCAAAACATATATCAATTTCAGACTGTAGGTTGCCCCTCAACTGTTTTCAGGACAGAAGGATCACGGGCAAGACCTCCCCTATCCACGTAAGGCACAAACAGGTTAGCTGAATCTGCTGATGAAGGTATCAGCCAACATCTCGCTTACCCTCCAGCAGAGGAGGAAAAGCTCCTATGATGCCTTCTTCTTGCAGAGCTGGGGAGACAGTAACCTACAGCCGCTCACATAGCTCTGTATTCAAACCGGCACAATGGATCCAAAAGAAAAAGTCTGGCTACGACCTAAAAGCCTAATTACACATAAAAGTTGCATGTTAAAAATGACAACATTGTCCAAGTGGTACAACCACAGTGTGGACACGGTGGTATTCAGTATAAATCTGCTTTCTAGGAGTTTAGCTATAGCTGCATGGGAAAAGGAATATGGACAACATAGCACTTCAAAAAAAAAAAATTTAGAATTTTGTCCATACAAGGGGGTAAAGCAGACACACAACCTATAAACTGCTTAGTGGCCAGAAGATTATTTCTGTGTTTTCAATTTCCCATCGCTGTCCTCCCCCTGCCAAAAAATACTCCAGTTGAACCACTAGTGCCAGCAACTGCTCACCTGCACTTGGGTTAAAGTGAGTCTGCTTAATTAAACAGCTTATGTTGCAAGATTTTGCTATCCCAGTTTTTTGCTTGACTTTGGTTAGATGGCCATCGCACAGACAACTCAGCAGATCAAAAGGATCAACAACCTCTAACAGGCGAACAGCACTGAGCAGAAGCCTTCTTGCACCTTCAAACCTGGAGATGGACGGGAGTCCTTGTTCACATCTAGGATGCAAGGCCATAATATTCATGACATAACATCAGCACACCTGCACCGAGTCAGAAACGGGCAGAACCAAGCAAACTTCCACAGAAACAGAGGTTTGATGCACCTACTGAACGCATTCCTGGGGTGACTCCCCTGAAACACACACCACTCTACCTGTGCCGAACCACCCTGGGCTCCCCGCATCGTCAGCAACGGGTGCTCACAGGACACGGGATAGAAGGTGCCAGATCAGTCTCACCCCACATGCCCCTACTGCTCTCTGGTGACTCTAATGGGAACCTCAGGGTGACTAGAGCCGATCTTTAACACTGCAGATATCTGCAGTTGGGGTCAATCTCAGTCCTCAAGCCTGCAGCACTTCCACCAGACAGAACTGGCAAGACTGAAGTCTGATTTTTGTTCTATCAAAAGCACTGCAGTTTCTTAATCAGTTTTCCGTCAA